GACCGTTTACTCGGAGTATTTTTCTACTAGATAGTTTGCCATAAAGATACAAAATTCCGTTAACCATACTGTCCTTGATTGGTCTACCATTTAATGGTTGATGTTACCTCCTCACCGTTAAGCAAAGTAGAAACTACGGTCTGCGGTATCTGTTCTTCAGGACTTAGGATGGAACATCGAAAGAGGATTAATAAAAAATCACATATTCAGTAACTTATAATGACCGCTTATCCTTTCGGGTCGTGGAGGAAAACGCGTCAGACAGCGTCTCGAACGTTCTTGATCCTGCGCTAGCGGGTGAGCTTCAGCCCAAGAAATCTGAATTTTGGAAAGAGTCAAACAAGGTACCTGCCGCAAGTCATTCTTGGCTTCATTTTGGTCCTTGACCGCAGTAAATAGTACCTGGTTCGTCATCCTCTATGGAAAGCACCTATCACTTTGCGATAAATAAAAATGCCACTTACTGAGCGTCAATCCGTCCGTCTGTCTTTACTGATTGCGGCTTTATCTTTGGCGAATATCAATGACGTGCAAAACATCAGCCTTCAGGTAAAATTATCCTAACAATTTTGCTGCCTCAAACCGCAGAACCAGAAAAGAGGACACATATTGGAGGATAGCACAAGTATCCGAGTACAGATCGCTATGCACCTCAAAGTAATGGAATATTTACCCATTAAAAAATTGATTTTCTATCATCCGCAGTACTGTGACGATAAACAGGTTCTTACAATGCCTATCAACGTATCAACCAAATCTCCCAAATTTAAGATACGCATTTTAAACTTAAACCAACTATGATGAAGTGACAAAAATCATCAAAAATCACTTGTGAGAACATGAAATAAACGAAAGCATACAATACCTGATAGAGCAAGCCCATGGTCGTGGCCGTAGGAGGAATCACATTGTTCACGAAAAAGAACAGCGCATCCTCTGGCCTTAAGTGGATACGCTTTCTGATCAAGAAATAAAACTGCCCAACGGTAAGATCTGAAGGAACAAGGTATTTCTTCTTATCCAAATCTCGCAGTCGACATTTCGGAGCCTTCTCCACAATAACCTACAAGTTGTCATAGAAGATTCTTTTCAAAATGGCATAAAAACAAAACAGTCATACAAACTCAATACTGCAGAGACGTGGTCACTTTAAATGGTTTCCCTGGTTACTAGAAGCAAGGGAACGATGCAATATTGCGGTACTACCAGGTATAAAATTTTCATCTTTCTTATACTACCGCAGTAGTGGTGTAACGTAAGAAATAAATTTTTCTTTTTTTACACTACCTTTTCGCCGTTAAAATCCATTATCATTAATTTTTATAACAAAAGAAACATGTTTTTATATTACGAATAAGTTTCGATATATATCGGATCAGTGGCAAATTCAGCTTCATAGGATAGTGATAGTAAAACAATAACAAATAATGTAAACAGATCAGTGTTTCTGAGTCAAAGTGCTTCCCTAGTTAACCCCCCCCCCTTTGTCCACAGCATGAGAAACAGCCAGAAGGTGAAAAATACCATAAAACAAGGGTTTAAACTCACAGCATTCTTCGCCGTTCACATAAAATACAGACCATAACTGTTTATTGCGAGTAGTGCACTTGATTACAAAACGGTATCTAATAGGGTGAGATCGCAACATGAAAATATAAGCTTGCTTTGGACGGCAGACAGGATTTTAGAGGACGTGAATGCAGGCAAATACACTGAACAGGATGAAAAGTAGTAGTACAAGGAGGTAAAAGACAAATATGGGAAAAAAATTTTTTTATGGTGTCATAAAGATTGTACAAACCTGAAAAAAATCTGTTTTAGTGATTCTTCAAACAACACTTTGAGAGACGGTGAGTCTCGCATTACTAAACCGAAACAACCTTATCCGCTCGTCAGTACTTAAAGCTTAACAGTATAAGATCTAAGTGTCTAGGAACTGGTATCGGAATAAAGCTAACTTTGAATATTTTTCATTTATTTCTAACACAGCGTATAACTTAATAGGAAGAATACTTTACTGAAATGAATTAAATATTTTTCTTTGACTGCTTAAACAGCAGGAATCACACAGTGCGCAAAAACTGTTCATATCGGAACATAATCCTAAATGACCTTGACCTTGCATCTCAACAAGGACAATCTAGAGAACAGGCTAAGCTTAAGGTATTAATAGCTCATTTGGAGGAAGAACCTTACTTAGTGAAAGAATCGTTGATCTGACTGGAAGAAACCTACTGCGATTAAACTTGGGTAGAGCATGCAAGTGTGGTTAAAGCAGACTATTTAGAATAATCCATCATTATGGATTAATTGCACTACGAATACCTATCCAGGACTTTGCCATAGATCTCGGTTATCTGCAATTTCCATCCATCCTGATACAGAAAATTCTTCATTTCATCCTACTATTGACTTGAAGCTACGGGTCATTTACTTTGTCTTGGAACCCAGAGATGATAGGTTCTTATTTAAACGTTTTTTGCCTATTACAACAATAACTTCTTCACTCAAGCAATGTCATCCCAGACTCTTGCCTGTAGAGTCTGTTACTCATTCACTCGTCTTACTAAATTTTTTGTCATTCCTAATATACGGCTTTGTATGCTGCGTTACGCAGTCTCTAGTTTAAAAATAGCTTTCAAGCAAAGGGTCCAATTTTCGTTTCGCAACCACAGATTAGCACCGGTGGTACACACTGACTCGATACAATCCGTTTCAAGCAAAGGGACAGCCAGTTTCACGGACATGGAGCAGTCTTCCAAAAGTGCACCATGCAATATTATTTTGCTCATCCCACATACTCGATTATTTGCTGCATAACGACCTGTGCCTGATGGTCGTAGTTTTGTACTTCATCAAGATCAGGCCTACTGACTTCAAAAGATTGCAGGATCACGAATTTGCTAAACGCTACCTTCGGCTTCATTTTCAATCCTATTCACATGCTGGCATCGTTTAGCTCCTCGATTACCCATCGAAGTATCTTGAAGACCTACTTTGCGGCTGCTGTGAATAAATTCTGTGACACTGTATTTCCCTGTAAAACACCATCTCTTCGATTTTCTAACTTTTCTCTGCTTTTAAAAAACTTTACAGCAGCACCTGCATTTTTATAAATCATGGTGATCAGATTTATGTATCTTCCCTGGCTCTTCAAGGGATTCAGTCCAGAACGGATGTAGACCCAGTCGAACGCCTTTTCGAAATCTATGAACTCCAGACAGAAAGAAAGCTAATAATCTTTGCTTGTCTGAATCACTTGTTGAAGCACGTGGTGTAGATCCATCGTACAAATCCACCTTTGAAGCCTGCTTACTCCTCTAACCGTATAGCGTTCAATAATCCTTCAAGTCCGTCCGCCAGTACCTTCGTGAAGATGCTGCAGAAGAGCGAAAACAAACTGATCGACCTGTAGCTCTTCAAATCATCAGGAAAATTCAGTTCCTTCAGACAACGCGAACATAAGCACACTAATATCTTGGTCAAAACTTTACCTCCGGATTTCACGAGTTACACTGTAATGTTGTCTTCGTCAGGAGCCCTTCGTCGTTTAACCTGCGATATGGCATTTCGTAATTTCTTCCGGCTGGATATCTGGAATTTCGTCAACTTTATTTGCATCTTCAGGTTTTAAATCGTTAAAGAGTTTGCTGCTGTCTTCGTCTCTGAACAGATTTCCACATAAATCCCCTGTTCCTTTAAGAATCTCTTCCTTGTCCCATCTTCTGTTTTTTGAGCTAAAATTTGTCGTTTTTCGACCGTCAACTGCCGATTTAACATTTTCAAGCTACCACTGCTGGCAGCAGATTCGTTTATAATCTGCAACTGAATAGTCTAACGTCTTCGTTTATGCGTTTAATTCAAGTTTCGAAAAGTTCCGCGAATTCCTTCTCTGTTGCTCACTTCGTTTCTCCATGTTTCTCCTCATTAGCTCTTTTGTTTGCCTGCTGATTACAGCACGTCATAAAAGGCTCCACGAAACGATATCGACAGTAAGAGCTTAACACCGGAAACCAGAATATGACATCACTCAGAGGAAAGAGCAGCAGCTAGTTGATGAGGCGGCAAGGAACCAAGTCGACATAGCTAGACTCTCATAAATGAACAGCAAAGGCTTTGGGATTCTGAATCTCTGCGGATGGCAGCTATTCTAATCAGGTATCGACATTACGACACGCGCTCAGGCCGCTGCTGATGTTCTGGCATAACCCAACCTGGCTCATAGAATCATTGAATGGAAGCCTGTCAGCAGAAGGGTAGCACCTCTCTGACTGAAGCTACAATAGGCTCAAGCGTTGACTTTGGTACAGGTCTATGCGCCCAATTTGGAGGGAGAATATGACTTTTTCCTTGAGGAAGTGCAATGCGCTCTGCAGGAAGTGCCGAATACGGAAACCCTCATTCTCACGGGCAATTTTAATGAGCATGTCGGAAACAACACTAAAAAGTGGAAAGGTGTAATTGGAAAGAAAGGCCTAGCGACCTCAATGATAACGGTATGAAGTTGTTGCGGTTTTGTGCAAACAACGAACTGTCCATTATGAACACCATTTTCAACCATCAAAGCGTGCATCATTATACCTGGTACAGGGAAGTTTATGCACAGAAGTCTATGATCGATTTGATAATCGTATCGTCTGGCTTACGACGCTCTGCAATGATGCTCGCGTAAAAAGAGGCGCAAAACAATCAACCGATCATTATCTTGTAGCTGGCACGCTACGCTATGAGAAATGGAGCACCATGCGAAGATGTGGTGGCAGAGGCAACCAAAGATTCTGACCAGTGATGAGGACATCCTTCGGCGATGGCAAGAGTACTTTACGGAACTCCTTAACACCGAGCAACCACAGGAAGACTTGCCTGTAGAGCAGCAGGGAACGGGTACTAACATTCTTATAGGCAAAATCATACAAGGAGTGAAAAACTTGAGAAGTGGAAAGGTTACCGGAATTGATGAAATCCGCCCTGAAATGCTCAAAACAATATGCGAACAAGGAATGCACTGGCTTGTATGTCTCAAACTGCAATGGCTACGTAGAAAACAGCGGACTGGAGAACGGGAGCTGTACTAGTCCTATTCAAGAACGGAGACCACAGGGAGTGCTTCAATTATCGGGACATTATCTTACTGAGTCTCTCGGCTAAAGTCTTCGCAAAGGGGTTT